CAGCCAACCTCTTTGCAGACACTATTGCATTAGATAATAACATTGAAATCAGTTCAGATAAAAAAAAAAACAAGAAATTCAAGAAAAGACACTATTCAGAAGTCAGAAAGAAATAACATCATAGGTGCTAGAGGTGCCACTTACATTTAATGAACTGGAGTTGGTCATTTCAAAGCTGAAAATGCGGAAGTCACCAGGAGCAGATGGTATATCTAACGAAATGATCAAAAACTTAGAAACAGTGGCTAAAACAAAGCTTTTACAGATATTTAATGCTTGCTGGGCAACAGGGAATGTTCCACAGATCTGGAGAGAGGCAATTACGATACCCCTCATAAAGCCTGGGAAAGACAGTTCTAATGCCTCCAACTACAGACCGATCAGCCTCACAAGCTGTCTCTGCAAAACAATGGAGCGCATCACCAACCTCAGACTACAGTGGTACATTGAAAGTGAAAACATCATTACACAACAGCAGGCGGGCTTTAGAAAGTTCTACTCTACGGAAGACCAGACAACATAACTCTCCCAAGAAACAGAGGATGCTTTTCAAGACAAGAAACTGGTACTCGCGGCATGGATAGATTTAAGGAAAGCTTTTAACAAGGTTCGGAAGGAGGGGCTTTTGAAGAAATTGAGAAACTATAAAGTAAATGGAGGAATGTACAAATGGATTAAAGCATATCTACATAACAGAAGAGCCAGGGTACAGGTAGATGGTTTCAAAAGTGAAAAAGTTCTACTGCTACATGGCGTCCCTCAAGGTCGTGAGCTGTCGCCCACACTTTTCCTCTTATTCATCAACGACCTGGTTGCTGAAATACCAAATGGAATCAAAATGGCAATGTATGCCGACGACCTGGTACTGTGGTGCACCGATGAACATGCAACGATAGCCACAAGAACACTACAGCGGGCTACATATGCACTTGAGGCATGGGCGAATGGATGGTGTGTCAGCATCAATACAAACAAATGTAGCACCACACTCTTCACTCTTTCCCCCAAAGCGAAAAGCGGGCATCATCAAAATAAACGGAATACCCCTAAGAGATGATAAAGAGCCCACGTACCTCGGAGTCACATTTGATGACAGGTTGACATGGAGAAAACATATCAACAAGGCAGCAACCAAAGCCAGGAAAAAGACAGCCATACTAAGAAAACTAAGTGGAACCACATGGGGAGCCAGTGGGAAAATACTCAATAAAGTATACAAGCAGAGCATACTTCCACACTTGGAATATGGGTCAACTGTATGGTGTTCAGCATCTAGTACCACATTAAAGGAGCTGGACAAAGTGCAAAATCAAGCACTCAGAGTCATCACAGGAGGGATGAAATCAACCCCCATATTAGAAATGGAGAAAGCTGGGAAAACACAGGCACTGAGAGAACGAAGAGATACAAAGTTGCAAATACAAGCTGAAAAGTTCCTCAGTATGCCAGATCACCCCATGAAAAATAGATTTCAGAACCTAGCCTTAGGACGGTTAAAAAGAAGCAGCTTTATACATCAAGCAAAAAAGAATATGTAGACAAACTCCTGACCTTCCAGAAATTGGTGGTCCCCTTAACAGTATTCCAGAACAAACCCCATGGAGAGAGAAATGCAAACATACAGTACAAATCCAGACAAATGTGAAAGGAATATTTGACATGAAAGAACAAGATAGTGTTCAACGCAGAATGGCCACCCTTAGTTATATTGATGAAGAGTACCCATAAGAACAATGGCTCAGAGTCTATACAGATGGGTCCGCAGAAAGTGCAGTTAGGAATGGTGGTGCTGTAGAATTCCCAGATTGTAGTAGAGATAAGTCCAGCGTACCAACCGGGAAGTACTGCCATAACTATGATACAGAAACTCAGGCTACAAGTTAGCAACAGAGAAACTGCTAAATACAAATCTTGGCTCCCAGTATGTAGTAATGCTGACAGATGCAAAATCAGTACTTGAAGTACTCCAGTCTAGGAAACTACCAGAATTGCAAACACTGCTGACACAACTTAGCCTTCAGCAAAGAGTTGTAATGCAGTAGATACCATCACATTGTAGAGTGCCTGGAAATGAAAAAGCTGATCAACTGGCAGGAGAAGGTGCGACAAAAGTGCAGCCGGAGGTACCAGTCACATACCATCAAAAGAAAAGAATCATTAAATCAATCAGGAAACCACCAGCCCCAGCACAAGATGACTATTTTATTTTGGACAGATCAGAACAAGTCATTATCCTCCGCCTCAGAACAGGGCACAACCGATTACGTAACCACATGTACACAAAATTCAAGATAGGTGTATCAGCCATGTGCACCTGTGGAAAGGTGCCCCAGACAGCAGGGCATGTACTCCAGGACTGCACCGAATTTGACACATTAAGGCAAACCTTTTGGCAAGAAAGAACGACAGTGGAACGTAAACTCTATGGACCACTGACTCAATTAACAACAACAGTGAAATTTATACAAGAGACAAAATTGCTGATATGGACAACTTATTTTAGGCGAACGAAAGAAGAAGAAGAAGAAGACTATTAAACACAACTGTGTAGTATCCGTGCCTTGTCATACTGGGTTTGAGGAATGAGCAGACAGGGAAATGAGTTTTCACAGATTGCGGGTCTACACCAGAATACAGTAGATATGATCCAGTAGAAGAAAGCGATATTCTTCCCCTATTTCTGGAGCTTTTTACAGGAGTGTACCAGAATTTAGTCAACCTCTGGGGTTTCAGCGTTATGAACGCGTTTCGTAATGCAGGGGTTCGATCCCAGCTGCCGATGATTTGTCTTGAGTTGGTTTCGACAGTGGTACCGAGAGCTGACCGCTTAGTTTGGCAGCCTATTGAACGTAACATCTGCCTAGAAAACACACAACAGAAAAATAAATGATTGGGTTGGTTCTGCACCGTCATGTAAAGGATACGCGACCAGCATTTAACCAGAATTTAACACAGTTGAATACACTTCCATTACATTAATATTATTATTATGCATTTCCGCTTTGAGTAGAAGGATCAGAATAATATTGATTCTGAATCAATATAATAAGATAGGGCACAAGACGTAATTCATGTCCCATGCATGAGAGTTGCAAATTAATTGTATATAACCAATAGGGGACTCTAGATTAAAACAGAAACGCTATGGTAAAGAAGATTAACAATTTAAATACAAAGGGTTAATGTCACCTCTGTCATGATAGGAGGTCGACGTTTGTGGCTTTGGCGTTGCTTAAGCGGTTTGTCATTCCGAAGTGCCGAGTTCAATCACAGCTGAGGGCGGTCTGGCAGCAGACAGTGGTATCGAATTCCACTGTTAAAAGCAATGGCAAACTAGTTAGTATCCTTTACATGACGTTGCATAACCAACCCCAAAAGCCCCTGGCTGTTGTGGAGTTTTTCAAAGCACATTTACGTCCAGTAGTTTGCCATTGCTTTCTGGACGATCGGCTTTTTTGATACCACTGTCGAAACCAACTCAAGGCACATGGCCCGCAGCTGGGATCAAACCCGGCATCCTAGCATTAAGAAGCGTTCGCATCGACTTAGCCACAGAGCCGTCTAATGGCAAACTACTTAACGTAAAATTGCGTAACGAATTCACAAAAAGGGCCTTCTCTCCCCCCCCCCCCCCCCCCCCCCCCAAATACTTGAGTTGGTTTCGCAACGTCCTGCAATAATTACGCAAGTAATTATGTCACCGATAACAAGAACATCTTCTGATATTTGGTATGACAAAGGAACGTATAGAAAATTGTTTGGTACTAACAGAGTTAATTATGTTTATGCTATTTGTTGATCTTAGCAAAGGTTAATGATCGACGTTTGGTGCAGGAGAGCCTAGCATATGATACCACAACATCCAGCTTAAGAATGGAGGTGGAGGCGGTCACTGCAGTTTTTCGCTGGCTAGAGAACACCACACACACACATCGTGATTGTAACTGATTCAGAAAGCATGCTGAGGGAAGATCAGAAAAGGTATGCTTCGTGCAGAGTGGCATGCTTCGCTGCGGAGGACACGGTATTGTCTGTGTGTTTTTACCGGGACACGCCGGTGTGTTTGGAAATGAACAGGCGGACAGACTGGCTGGCTCTGCACAACTTGGTGGAATACTGATACACGATAAGGCAGACGTGGTTAGTGCCTTGTGGGAGAGCGTGTTCAGTTCGGAGGTGCAGATGGGTCACCACAGTCTGGTGAGATTGATGCAGCGGGGAAGTGATGTGAGGTTAAGGTAGATGCTCAAAGCTCAGAGGAAAGGCAAGGGGGACGTTTAATCAGAATGCTACTGGCACCATTAGTATCGGAACTCTTTGTTGGCTGCTGAAGATGGGGACGGAACGCTTATTGGAATGGCCCGAGTTCTGTGATGTCGGTTGTTGAATCAAATCAAATCAAATCAAATTGCTATGGTCAGTTTTCTTCTATTGTTGTGCTAGGGAATCCAATTATTTTAAGTTCATGCCATATTTAACTGTTTTGTCTGTTTTCTGTTTTTGTTGAAAAAATTTTTTTTCCATTTCTGTTTGACATTCATGGCTCATCATAATGGGAGACTAGACTGCTACCACAATATGTTGTATAAAGGCACCACAGGATTATGGCCTTATGTAGCTTGGTATCTTTTTGCAAGCCTATAAACTTGGTCCAGTATTTTACTCAGCAGATGTTGGTGTCCATTTTGTTAACGGTTTAAAAACTGATCAATTAGAATCGCCCGACAGATGAAAGCAAGATATAGAATAATAATGTCACAGATAATAGAGGACGAGTACAAGCTATTAATACGCATAATCCTGGACATTTTCATACGAAACACCATTTCGGTTGTGGGTGTAGTCACCAATGTTTTCAACATGATCATCTTCAGTTCGCTGGGTCTCAAAGACAGCATGAGTGTTAGTCTTTTCAGTTTGTCGTTCACAGATTTTCTTGTCACCTGTTTTCAATTCGCCAGTGGTGTGTGTTATGCTGTTGACATCTTTTATCGAACAAGTCCTATTGACATCTGGTCTATAGGTTATTTTTTCTTTGCATTCCTGATTAATGCTACCTACTTAATGTCATGTTGGATCACAGTGATGATTTCAGTGGAACGATGTTTCTGTGTGGTATCGCCATTTAAAGTGAAACAAATTTTCACACGCGATCGTTGTGTCACATCCGTTCTTATTATATACGTTGTTTTCATTGTAATTCATGTCCCTGTATACGTTACACATAAAATGGGCTGGAAAGAAATAACGCAACGAATGCACGATGACAATTCTACTGTACCACATGTTTATATATTCACTGTAAGTTTCACTCAACAAACGGCACACTTTGAGCTGATATTTGATTTAACTGTGGGTGTAGGTGTTCTTTTTCTGGCTCAGACAATCATTGTCGTCTGCGCTGTATGGATGGGTTACTCACTTGAAGTATCATCCAGAATCCGTCAAAAGGAAATCACCGCGACATCGGATCAAAGCAGTGTATCGACCTATTTGACCTCTGCCTCCAAGCTGTCTAGAAGCGAGAAGCGGCTGATCAAAGTGGTGCTTTACTTGGGGATAATACTGACCGTTGGGAACATCCCTAGGATCATCACATCCACGGTCTACCACACCATCCCCGGCATGGACACGGGCAGCCAGGAGAACCTCAGCACAACTCTGTGGGCCACTACCTCGGCGATCGGCTCCCTGGGCTGCTCGGCCACTTTCTGTGTCTACGTCATACAGAACAGAAGTTACAGGCGTCGCTTTTACCATATTTGTAGACTCTCCTTTGATAACACAAATACTGTAACAATACCATAATGTAACTCTTTTTATTTAACCATACACAATCAGACAGTTATTGGTGCCATCGGAATTGGCGCTCTTCGTTTGCTGCTGAAGATGTGAACGGAGTGTTTATGGGATTGCCCCGAGTGCTATGATGTTGATTTCTAACTCAACATTCAACATTTAACGATCCTTGACTTCTTTTAAAATTATTTCTTGTATTACCCATTTTATTTAAACGAACAATCCTATTCTAATATTTACAACTTTATCGATATCCTCAGTAACGTCCTTTCAAAATAATGTCATCTGTCGTCACTGCTTCCCCAAACACAAACGGCGTTGTTACCTTCCTGAAAGTAACCTCTTCCCGTAAAGTCCTTTTTCCCCTATTTCCATCCGAAATCATAAATCTCTGTCGTAAAGACCCCCCCCCCACCCCCACCCCCTTTTTTGAATCCTTCTTGCGTATTGAGCATAAGGTTCTTACCGATATTTGAAAGACCATTAGGCACTCGATGAATGGTGCAGTCAGCAGCACACGGGCAATCATTACTTTCCCGGAAATCACAGATCCGCTAGCGAGCGACTAGCTGCTACACCACAGTGACTCACACTCAATTGTAATTTTCTCAAAATATACAACTCGTCAAAGGTCAAGGGTCACCCTATTGTTTTCAATACGTTATTATATAACAGCATATTATGGTTTCATGAAGAACATTGTTTTAGTAAAAATGAGTACGTCTTTAAATGACAGTCTTCTCTGCACGTGAAGCATGAAAACAACTCACGGACAAGCGTGGTGATCACTTCTAATTTTGTTTGCTGACCACAATTCACATTTTAAATCTATTTTTTCTTTCAGACTTCCATAGAACAAAAAGATGTTTGACATTCCGCATGCAATGCTAACCGTACTCACTCCTAATTTGCTGTACAATCAATAGACTTAGGGCTGCTTCATCACTTGCAAACACTAATGCCATTGCGAAAAAGTTTTGACAAATAGTGCTATGGCGTGGGCTGAGAGTGGTTTATTTATCCGTGAAGTTGCTAGACGGCTTGCAGTGTCACACTCTACTATCCAAAGAATTATGGAGAGATTTCAGGCGACAGGAAGTGCGGATGATCGTCACGTAACGTGTCGTCCATGCTGTACCAGTAGATACGATGACTGATACCTCTTCTTGTCAGGTCTGCTCCATCGAACAGTGAGTTGTCCGACTCTAAGATGTCAGCTGAGACAAATTGTAAGCATTAGTCTCAGTAAAAGCACCATTCACAGATGTTTTCGTGAATTCGAACTATCTTCTCGACATCCTGCAGTCAAAATCGCTCTTACTCCTGCTCATCACAGAGCCAGCATTGCTTGGTGTCGTGTACACATCCAATGGACAAGGCACCAATGGAGACAATCCCTCTTCACTGATGAATCTCGCTTTACTGTGTCATTCAATGGTGGTAGAATACGAGTTTGGAGACGGCCAGGAGAGAGATTTACTGATAACACAATTCCATAAGTGGATCGTTATGGTAGAGATTTTGCTCTTGGTCTGAGAAGGCGTCTACAGACACAGCTGGGCCACAGTCTACCTAATCCAAGGCAACTTCACTGGCCTTAGATAGCATAAAGAAATTGTGAGACCAATCGTTCATCATGCTAGGAAAGCCATATGTGGTAATGCCATCCTCCAAAATGATAATGCTCGTCTCCACTGAGCCTAATTGGTGAATGGCTTTATTCAGCAACATAGTGTTGTCACGCTAGCATAGTCATCTCATTCATCTGGCCTTTCTCCAAGTGAGCAACACTAAGATGTCCTTACCCGAGGATTGTCAACAAATCCTTCCCTACCAATGGAGGTTGCACAGCTGACTCACGTATGCTTCGGGAATGGTAAGCTGTTCCTCCTGAGACTCTTCGGAGTTTTGTGGACCCTTTACGTCTACTCTGTCTTGAATGCTTTGCTGATGATGGGGGTCATACCACGTATTATGAATGTTCTAGATTCCTGTATCTATTTCGGGGGCCTTTGAAAAAATTAGTCACATTCACAGTTCGGGGGTTTGAATGTGTTTTTAATTCTGGATGGCATGTAAATTTAGAAGAAATTTAATAAATAAATTTTTGTGTTTTTTATTTTT